CGTCGCTCAAATAAAACAATACTATGAACACTTCAGACCAAAACCTTATAAAGGAATCAATGGGATATGAAGTTTTCGTTTCGTCTATTGTTCATTGGCAAACAAAGCTGAGGCGATAGCATTTACGATCTCTTCTCAACGATACGGTTGTCGCTTGCACAATGCAGCATGTTTCGCGAAAAGTGGTGCGTTGTTTGTGAGGAAACATTACCAGCTATCTTGAAAAATATGTTTCATGAGAAGTTACTAGTACGTTTTTCTCGTTTTTGCGGGCATCATGCGAGCCGACTTCAATTTTTCCCAATGCATCCTCGAGCAGACTTCAAAGAAGTCTTCTTAGTACCCGGGCCTCCCACAACCCACCCACCACAATAGTAAGATCTGTAAAGGCTGATGAAGCATTTAATACATTTAAACTCTTACAATCGCACGAATCTCAAAGGACTCCACTAAAAGCAGACGAATACATTATTTAATTACTTTTTTAATTTATGAAACTGACAACATGGATCATGTTTTAGTTACAGTAGAACATGCAATAGATCGCAGCTAATATCCAGCTCTCCACGAAAAAACTTTTGATCCAGGTCCAGAATATGTCAAACTGGTCTACAATCTGAAACAGTGAAGTTAAAATAAAAAACAATTTTCTTTGGATTATGAAAACAAATATGGGATAGACACATCGTGCATAATGACTGGATGTTTCTCAACCTTTGAGCTTTGAAGAGTTCACGTAAAAAATGGGTAAGAAGCTTAGATTAGCTCGCTTTTGATGGAAAACCCTTTGGCGTTTAGAAGTAGAAGGTATAGCTAAAAATTATCCACAATTTTCCATCTTAAAAGTATAAGATTATTGGCCCTATGTGACTTAAATTCCTACATTGGAGAAGTTATGAGTTTTTTTTTTTTATATTATGGCCAATTTTGGATGCAGCAACACGTTCAGAATTTTGACTGTCAGCTTTATGGGGAGAGAAAACCCGCGAACGAGTGTGCGCAACCCGCTAACGAAACCAGGTCAAAGAATCAAATCCAGGACAAAATAATGAATTAAGGGTAGTGGGGTGAGGTGGGGGGGAGGGGGGGACCTAACGTTGGTGAGGGTGTCGAGTCGAAACTTGATAGGTAGTTAAAATTAAGGTGTAAGATCCTGAACGAAAAAATGTTTTCTGGCCTTGCATGGTCTAACATTGAGAATGCTTTACGAAAAGAGCAAGAGTTGTGACAGAGGAATTCTCAGTAAAACAAATATTGAGTTAAAATAAGAAAGAATTAACAACAAGAAAGTGCAAGCAGTCGAACTGTATACTCGTTATACACAGAAACACTTTTCCAACGTCTAATAGGAGTTTTCGTAAATGGCAGACCGAAGTTAATTTGTTGGTATAATCGAGTCAAGTAACTTACGTTAAAGGCTGCTCCCTGGATACTGATGTTTATCGCCAGGTTAGAAACATTTTTATATGTTGGAAAATCTTGCTAAAAAAAAAAATTGTCAGAATATCAGTTCGATGGTGATTTTTCTAATTGATGCTCGAGTGTTAACGCTGTAATTTCCTCGCAACACTTAAAGCCAAAGCAGACTGGCCGGGTGCTTCTGTTCACAGATTTTTGTCTAGAACCGCGCCGTATGTACGTAAGGTCATTGCAAGGGTCCAGCAGCTTTAATTTTAGCGTCTTGCGTCGGGACAGTTTTTTTCCCATGCAGTTCTATAAGTTTATTGAATTGAATTGCCATTTCGTGTGTTTCGCCGTTTTTAATAAACTATTCAAATCACAAAAATGTCTACGTGATTCACAGCGCGTTTTTCCTGCTAAGACTATAAGCACCACTTTAAATATTGACCTATTTAAAGTGCCCGTAGGTGTAAAGCCGGCTTTTCCAATTACAGCGTCCGCACTTAAAAAATAAATGAACCAAAAATGTGGAAAGCTCTGTAGCTGACTAGGAACAACGATTAATTTCTGTCAAGATATTGCACATAGATTATCTTGTATTTTTCTTCAAAATAAACTGTTTTTAAGGATATGATACAAAACAAGTTCCAACCATTTTTCTTTGTCCGAATTGAAAAAAGGGACTCACCTGCAACGCATCGAATATGAACAACACGCACGTATGACAACATACGCGTATGACAAAACACAGACAAAGAACTCTGCTTACGTCATCGAAGACTCGTTCCCTGTAGCGTTTGTCAGAGGCTTCCACGTTGGAAATAGCTTTAACATATGTCGCCTAAAATGATCAGAGGTGAGGTGAAAGTTTTGGTCGAACAGAAGAACAGGCGAGCGGAAGGAAGTCGGTACTATCGATAAAGAGAAGGGTTTTTTACATAATGGGCATAATGAGGAACAGTCCAATATTAACATACATATAAATCAGCTGAACCTGTTGAGCTAAAGCTCTTTACTTCCCTCTTTCTTTCTCCTTCTCACAGCTTTACAATGATTACTGAGAGATTTAGCTTCGATAGATTTATTTACACTTTTATTAGGGTTAAATTTCTGTTTCGTCTAGCACAATAAATTCCTCGACGATGTTTTCGTATCTTTAGTAGTTTTTTTTTTATTTTTTTTTTCAGTTTTGTCTTAAAAATCTCAGTAAGGCTAATGTTCTCACCTTGAACACGATTGGATAAAAGAGCAGTGCGCCAAAGACAATGAGCATCAGAGACTTACAGCTCATGTCAATGAACTGCGTAACTGTTGTTCGCCTTTCGCTCCTTTTAAAAGTGTTTCAAATGTATGGAGGAAGGTCTCGATATTTAAATGTCCATATTTAAAAGGAGACATAGGGTTCATTTACCGTGAAAGAAGATGAACGTGGGAGTGTAAGAACTTCAGTAGGATAGCTTATGAAGCAGCTGCACAGGTTGAGCAAAGACTTCAACGAGACTGGGACCCTTTTTTTAATTTGAACCATTCCTAAGAAATCTAAAATTTATTTAAAGGCCCTAACTTTATATTAATAAAATTCCTGGGGAAAAATTTCCTTTTATTCGTGGGGTGACTTGGTTGGTATGACTTTTTGTCTAAGTCCACGGGAAAAATGGTTTTTAGTTCTTGGCAGAAATAATAGTAGTGACGTATTGGATAAACCTCAATGAAATCTTGGCGATAATATTGTCTGCCCTAGCCTGTCACGTTTCGAATGAGCTGATCCGTTACAAGTTGATATTGCCAACTATAGGACTTACCCTAAATCGAGGGGAGATAACACCTCTATTCACTTTAACAAGCATTTTTTTGTCAAATATCAACTTTACCATACCAATTTTGTAAAACATCTTTTTTGTTTTTTTTTAAATTTGTTTGTTTGTTTGTTTTTTTTTTCAGTTTGGGAGTGGTTTTGTCAGCAGCCACGTTATCTTTTGGAATTTGCTTTCCATCCTGGAAGATTGTCTCAGAATTTCAATCAAGAAACTCTCTTGGATACTCTAAAATACTTTTCCACGAGATCTCACAGGACAATTCCTTGTGCCTTCATGACGATAATGAATAAATAATTTTTTTTCCTTCTTAAATCGTTATCAAAATTATAATTCGTATGAATAAAACACAGAGGAGAGAGACATTAAGTTCCGCATTAGAAACCAAAAAACCGTTGAAGAAATCATGCAAAACCGCGAAACCGCAAAAAAAATTGATCAAAACCGAAGACCGCTTGCAAAACCGTCAAAACCGTTTAATTAATCTTCACATTCCAGTTATCAAAACCCTAATCGGTCTCGTGTAGTCAGTAACAAGTGAAGCGTACATAGATTTCAACATTATTCGAGATCAGTGGAGGCGCATAACTTCCGCCCAGACCGAGGAGAAACCGGAACCCAAAAAGGAAAATACTCAAACCACATCGCATATCAAATCCGCAAACCCATTAGTATTTTTGACGAAAACGGGAAACCAAATGCTAAAAAAATCAGCAAACCACGAAGTACACCGAACCGAAAGACCAAAGGTTTCCGGCACAAAAAACGAAAAACCGATCTAAAATAGCCAAAACCGAAAATCCCAATGCTCCCATCATAAAACATGATAACCGTTCATATCTCACGCTCTTTGAAAATAAATTTCAAAGGATGGTCTAGACTGTCGAGTTTCATTTTACTTGGTAATTTTTTTTCCTACAATCCTCGAATTAATTCTGCCTTGTCATAGACGAGAGTGGCGTTTATAAGTGGCGGCGTTTATCATTTAAACAAATATAGTCTGGAACGTTCTTAATTTTGTTTTCCACGCCGTTCAACATTGCGCTTTCTCGGCTGAAACTTTGCCGTGCAAGATAAAATTTGTAGCATACGAAAGAAAGGATGCCTATTTACCCGCTTTCAAATAATTCATTTGCGAGTATAGTACTCATTGATCTTCATTTCCAGCTGTCATTTGAAAGAAGAACCTGAATACGTGATCATGTGCCAAATATATGACGTCATAATTATAAAACGGAATCCCTTCGATAAATTTGAGCGACAGTGTTTTCTCCAACTTTTACGCTACCTAGGTAACAGAACAGCAAAACATCGTCGATTCTATCTCAAAAGTAAGCAGTTTATACAATCTATCATCTCCGTGGTATCTGTTATACGAGTTAAAGAAAGGGAAATGCAAATGAGGTAGATGAAAACAGCGAATAGTGGCGGGCGACACTCATCTCCGATCGCAACTATTTACAGGGGGTCAAAGTGCCAACATTTTTATGATTTCGCTAACCACTGTGAATGGATAATACCCTAGTTACAAACCCAGAGTTGACATAACAAAATTAATAAAGTTTTATGCAAAACTTATACATTGTCACTCCAAACTCTATCGCTGACGGCGAATTAGACGACATTACACGCTTGAAATATCCCCAATTCCTGCATTTATTTGTTCGTTTCCCCAAGATTACAACGTGATTCCATTGAACAAGAAGTAGTTATCACAGGAAAAAGTTCACAACACGTTCTCTCAGGTGAAAACTTGTAATTCATCGAGTGCTCATGGCACGTGAAATGGCCAAGAAACCAAGATACATCTACGCAGAGTTTGCCACTTTTCTCTTGGTGCTGATGTGCTTGGGTTCTCTAAATCTCTGCGAAGGTAACTTTACCTTTCAAATTTTTATTCTTATAACTATGCAGAGACATAGGAGTTTCTTTATCAGGAGAAAATACGAAAATAATGTGTTTACTCTACCGAGACGCGCATAGTAGCTATGTTGTTAGACATCAAGGATCTGAAACCTAATTTTCCGCGTGCATGCACTGAAGAAGGAAAGCGCTTTCACTTTTCATGGAAAGCCGACGTAATCTCAGGTGATATTTCGCACATATATCTTTACCACCAACTGTTAGAGACCTATATTTTTCTTCTCTCTCTCCCGCCTTTCCTTGAAGTGGTCTTGGATGCAGGCCAGCAGTACAAATTAAATTTACAAAACTGCGACTAGTCTCGCGATAGTTCGTTCAACGTAATAACAGAATTGCTGATCACGGAGGGGCTGGTTTGAATAACTGATTAGTTTCCCAGACAAAAAACTGAAATTTGGAAGGCGGGGTAGATATATTTGGAAGCAGGATCATGTTTCCTCCTTAAGAAGTAAACGAGAATTGCAAAGCAACGTAGTATACAGTTTCATATCATCTAAAGAGTCTTTGTAGTTCTCTTGAGCTTCCCTATCGACTCCTAGCCAGAAACTGAAAGGGAGATGGTTGTTCAAGTGTGATTTCATTATAGAGAAATACAAGAAACATAATTTGCGATGGCATGTACGACAAATTCAAGAAAGAATTAGTTTGCGATTTTGAACGGCGATTCTTGGCAACCTTATATAGACACCTCTAAGAGGAAAATACATATCTATATTTAAAAAAAAAACGGTTTGCATTGTCTATCCCGCAAAAACTTGTCAAAGACTATGCAAATCTGGAAAGATGTCGATTCCGCTTTTGAATAATTGAAATAAGCTCAGTTGTATAACATTGAAATTCGAGAAACGACTACTGGGAGTGGTACCAAACACCCATCAAAAATCGGCGGTTTGATGATCGTAGAATTTCTTATATTTGCTTAAAAATACGTCTGTGAAAGGAAAAATTTCTAGATTTTCAGGTCAATAACGATTTCAAGCTATTTTAAATGAGCATGCTATTCGAACTTTTTCTCAAAGCAACACAACATGATACCGAGGTTGCTCAGCGACACTTTGGTGCAACACGCAAATAAATCCACGGGAGACAACATCTGCCATTCTAAAAATCTTAAAACTAAACAACCCAAATATAATCCTCTGAGAAAATAATTTTTGCCAAAGGCAAACTACACTTGAGTGACTTCAAGCAATTTTTTTTGTTCCAATTGCTTTAGATGGTCAAATTCTTTGTTACGCGCAACCACGCGATGGAGTTTTCCTCGAGGCAACTTTCACTTGTTATGATCAATATTGAAAATTTTGCTTGGTGGGATAGTAATCATTTACAGTCAGTTTTCAAGCAGACGGAAAAGACTTGACCTTATCGAGTTTTTCTAGTACTACTTTTTTAATAGTAAAACTGATACAAATTAATATTTGGTAATTTTCTTTTCGCGAAAGCGAGGACAAATTGCAACAGATGGTTTTTCTAATATTATTAATAATTTATCATAGGCGAAAATTTCTGCAACTTAGTTACACAAACTAGGCAACTTATTCGCCTAAATAGAGACGCATTTCATCATTTCATTTCTGCTCTCAACTTCCCGTCGTTCTAATAACTTCCTGCGTCCACCATTGCTCGTTCGCGTGACATTTTTTCCTAAAAGAACCGAACTTATTAGAAAAGCAGGTAACAATAAGTTTTCTTAGTTACGCTTGAAAGTTTCTTCTATTATGTTTTTTTTTTTTTTTGGTCACCCTTGAGGCATCATTCACGTTTTGTCATCGAAAAATCTAAAATGCAGTCCAATTTCTGCAAAAACAGACGGGAACACAGCAGACTGTAAAATGTAATAGCTGCTTCAGAACAGTGATGAATAAAAAAATGACAACCAGAAAGACAGAAATAATTTTTAAATATTCAAGGGAAAGTTACGCAATACTTTGGCGACTTAATTAAGCCGTTATCGGAATAAAAAGGAGAAGAAAGATAAACATGTATTCAATTCATTGTATGTAAAAGGATTTCTAGAAAATTCATTAGCTTTTTTTCGCATTGTTCAAAAAAATGTATTCGTGCTGTTTATGTTATATCTCAAAATATACCTTCCACCGCTTGCCTTGTTAAGAAATACGAACAAGTTTCTTATAAAATGGTGTAAAATAATTTGCATCCACTAGCAGCACTTTAATCCTTACCAAGGAGAAGTAAAAACTAACTATTAACAAAGAAACTATTGGTGAAACATGTGAAACAAAATAATCTCAGGATAGAAATAATGAAATGATAAGCTGTTTCACAAATTGCGCTGTTAATAATGCATCGCGCAGTTAATGCAGTTCGGTTTGAGTCGTACGTTATGGTTTTTTTCCTTTGAAATCTGTTTTATACGATTGGCCCCCTGTCATAACACTATTAAAAGTTTCAACAGTAAATCAGTGTATCGAACGTGCCTGTGCGCGAATATCATATGATTATTCGTACTAACAGCGTTTTAATTTGGATTCTCATTTCATTATTGCACAATCTACAGCTCGGGGAAAAAACTCTTCGACAGTTTGTAAGGAGTTCTGATAAAGTTAAGGGCTGGACTGTAAAATAAACTGACTGAAGCTCAGCTTTTAAGCTTGGCTAAGCCTGTTTACTGACTTCTCACACTGTGGCCTTATTAAACAGAGGTGGACTGAGCATTCTACTAATCATATTTATTGTACCTTTGTGCGTGTAAAATTCTCGAAAAATTAAGCACATTTGTTTGATTGCAAACGTTCAGGTTCGTGTTCTGACACGCCCGTGGGTGTTCGTGATGAATTAAAAGTGATACCTGATGATTACATGACTGCAAGCTCGGTGCTCCCTGGTTTTCCAGCCAAAGATGGTCGCCTGGCTGGAACCGGAGCCTGGTGTCCACTAACAAATGGTAGTGACACTGATCCATATCTTGAAATAAGCCTGGGTAAAAGCTACGTAATATGCGGCATCGAAGTGCAAGGAAAGCCTAATGCTTCAGAGTCTACAAACTTTACGCTCCAGTCTTCAACAAACGGATCAAACTTTATTGAAGTTGACTCAGGGCAGGTAAATAATTGACCTATAATTTTTATCAACTTGTTTCGCTGGCGGGTTTTTCAAATTGGTTTTATGTAAACGATTTGAAGATATCCATAATTTCTGTCGAGACTGGTCAGAATTTAATGTTTTAGACTGTCAATATCCACCTCAAGGTGGGATCAAAATATTTTTCTTGAATTTGCGAAAATACTATTCCCACCGACCAGAGATCTTATAATTTGATCCTCAAATCATTTAATTATATACGCGCAAAACCCCTTTTTTTTCTAGCACCGAGGTCATAGCTGGACTTGATATTCAATAGTCAGCATTACTAATAAAGCTTTTAAACCAACTTATATCAAAGTAGTATCACAACGCAGCATAGCATTGCTATCGTTGTCTTTATACGTTTTCTTTTTCATCGTAGCTTTTGTTTTCATTGATTTTTTTCTCTTTGAAACTCTGCACTTTCCTCATATGATATTTCAGAGTAGAAATTCCTTGGAATCTTTCGAAGTGGTAAACACTACTTGCAAATAGCGAATTCCTAATGAAAATGCAAAGTTATTTTTCATAGACTTTTTCCCTTGGTGTTGTCGTCCTGATTACTAGGTCCCTTGCCGCTGTCATTACGATTTTCACTGCCTCGAAGCTGATGTCGATACCTTTTGCCTTTGACTTCCTTGTATTAGCAGCCTACAGACTTGAATTCTTGTAGGTCCTTCTATTGGGTGTCTATTAACAACAGATTGTTATTAATGAGTATTCGGTACTAAAACACGACATGTAAAATGGTTTCGACTTTTTTTAAAGACTGAGAAGAGAATCAATAACTTGAATTTCCCTTAATCCTGTTTCTTTTCATGGATTTTGAAGTATTAACGTTTTCGGTACGTTTCCAGACCTTTAATGCCTCTTCAGCTGGTGGTGATGTCGCTACATTCCATGCCCTGGCAACAAACGTAATTGCGACACATCTGCGGTTTAAGCCAGTTTCCAACGTTACATGCCTGAGAGTGGAGATTTACGCTGTTCCAGGTATGTTCTATAGCGATATGATTTTTATCATAATGATAAGTTGTGTATCACATGACGATTGGAGTACGAAGTAGTCTTTATAATGTTAGTGGAGATTAGCGAAACATAAGCTTAACACAAGTGTTATTACCAGGGGTAACGGTAACGCAAAAATCAACATGAGTGCCCGATGGGGAAAACTATATCCTGCGTAGACGGTTGTTAAGAAGCAGTTTTCGTTAAACCAGATTTGGGAGAGAGGGTTTACGAAATATCTTATTCCACGCTACTCACTGAGGAAACAGCATGATACGTCCTATTTATTATGCTGTTCAGTCAAGAAAACGCGGACGCCATTCTTATTGCTTCGATGCTTTTAGGTTTTGTGGCTCAACGTTTCGACTGAAGGTCATTAAACCAACTCCAAAATACACACAACGACCAATCAGAAGAGCTAAAAGTGCCATAAGGAGCCGATGAGAATTTGGAAACGTAATGACATGGAGACGGCCTGAAGGGCGGAAAAATGCCAGTTATCAAGTTACAATTGATTGTATTTTTGTCTCTGATTGATCGAAAAGATGCACGTGGTGCGCGTTTTTAAGACTGATCGCAGAGCGTACTATAACAAAATCGACTCAATCCCAGATTGATCTTGACACTCAATTGGAAACAAATCTTTGAAACCAACTATAGCTAAGTGGCGCAGGGGAGGAGGGGGGGGCTGATGCGGAAGGCGGTCCCATCAGGTGGAGTCACTAGTTTTCGAGTTTAATATTTGGGAATCGTGAATTACGAGATATCGTTTATAATGACTCATGAATATCGAAATAAAATTGGGCAAAAATCACTGCTCTGCAGGGTCAGAAGATTCTACGATGATGACGTTCATTCTGATCGTTTTTTTTTTTTCATTCCTTCAATCTCAGAGAATGTTACCGTCAATTGCCAGGCGTCCAACATCTTGGTGGCGATTCAAAAATCCTTATTTACTGATACTGATCCTGAATTCGCCGCGACTAACCTAACTCTCAATGACAGAGACTGTAATGCTACCAATGGTTCAAATACTTTCGACTTTGACATTACCCATGGGACAAATTATCCATGGATAAATTTGCTCATTATTTATGGTCAGTTCTTAAGCAGACGAAAAAGACTTGATCTTATCGAGTTTTTAAAATACTGCGTTTTAATAGTAAAATTGATAAAAATTATTTGATCATTTTCTTTTCGCGAAAGCAAGGACGAATTGCAACAGATGGTTTTTCTGATATTATTAATAATTTATCATGGGCGAAAACTTCTGCATTTTAGTTACACAAACTAGGCAACTTATTCGCCTACATAGAGACGGATTTCATCATTTCATTTCTGCTCTCAACTTCCCGTCGTTCTAATAACTTCCTGCGTCCACTATTGCTCGTTCGCGTGACATTTTTTTTATAAAAAACCCGAAAAACTTATTAGAAAAGCAGGTAACAATAAGTTTTCTTAGCTACGCTCGAAAGTTTCTCCTGCTTTTGTTTTTTCTCACCCTTAAAGCATCATTCACGTTTTGCCATCGAAAAATCATTGAATGCGGTCCAATTTCTGCAAAAACAGAAGGGAATACAGTAGACTGTGAAATGTAATAGCTACTTCAGACTAGTGATGAATAAAAAAAACGATTGACAACCAGAAAGACAGAAATAATTTTAAATATTCAAGGCAAGGTTACGCAATACTTTGGCAACTTAATAAAGCCATTATCGGAGTGAAAAGGAGAAGAAAGATAAACATGTATTCAGTTCATTGTATGTAAAAGGAGTTCTAGAGGATGCATTAGCTTTCTTTTGCATTGTTCAGAAAACTGTATTCGTGCTGTTTATGTTATATCTCAAAATATACCTTCTACCACTTGCCTTCTTAAGAAATACGAACACGTTTCTTATAGAATGGTGTAACATAAATTGCATTCAATAACAGCATTTTAATCCTAACAAAAGAGAAGTAAAAATTGAATGTTAACAAAGAAACTATTGGTGAAAAATGTGAAACAAAATAATCTCAGGATAGGATTGTTATATGAAATGATAAGCTGTTTCACAAATCGCGCTGTTAAGAATGCATCGCGCAGTTAATGCAGTTCGTCTTGAGTCGTACGTTATGGTTTTCCCCTTTGAAATCTGTTTTATACGATTGGCCCTCTGTCATAACATTATTGAAACTTTCAAAAGTAAATCGGTGTAGTGCACGTTCCTGGGCGCGAGTATCATATGATTAATTGTACTAACAGCATTGTAATTTGGGTTCTCATTTCATTATTGTACAAACTACAACTCGGGAAAAAAACCCTTCGACAGTTTGTAAGGAGTTCTGATAAAGTTAAGGGCTGGGCTGTAAAATAAACTGACCGAAGCTCAGCTTTTACGCTTGGCTAAATTTGTTTACTGACCTCATATAATATGGCCTTATCAGACAGAGGTGGAATGTTCTACCTAGCATTTTTCTGCCCTTCAGGCCGTCTCCATATCATTACATTTTTCAATTTTTATCGGCTCCTTATGGCACTTTTGGCTCTTCTGATTGGTCGATCTAAAACGATATTAAAAAATATTTTTCTTCACGAAAACAAAAACCTATATTTTACATCAATAACCCCTTTTTTAAGTGACAAAGCCATGTTCAACAGTTATCGTTATTTCCAGATACCGATGATTATTGTTACCCTGATCCTTGCCAAAACAATGCAACTTGTGTCGATGGCGTAGATGACTATACGTGTAATTGTACGGCTGGCTACTATGGCAAGAACTGTTCCCAAAGTAAGTTAGATCATTTTCCCTCCCCTTCCACCTATTACAAGAGAACACTGCTATCATTTCGCGCATTTTACTTCTTTTAATTGCCTTTAACTAGACGCACAAAAATCTCTAACGATGTTTAAATGGATTTTTCTTCCCGAAAACGAACTTTATATTTTGCATCAATCTCTCTGGTTTCGAGTGTCAAGGTTGCCATGTTCAACAGTTATCTTTATTTTCAGATATCGATGATTGTTACCCTGATCCTTGCCAAAACAATGCAACTTGTGTCGATGGCGTAAATGACTATACGTGTAATTGTACGGCTGGCTTCTATGGCAAGAACTGTTCCGAAAGTAAGTTAGATCATTTAACCTCCCCTTCCACCTATTACAAGAGAACACTATTATCATTTCGCGCATTTTACTTCCTTTAATTGCCTTTAACTAGACGCACAAACATTTCTAACGAAGTTTGAATGGATTTTTCCTCCCGAAAACGAACCCTATATTTTGCATCAATCTCTCTGGTTTCGAGTGTCAAAGTTGCCATGTTCAATAGTTATCTTTATTTTCAGATATCAATTATTGTTCCCCTGATCCTTGCCAAAACAATGCGACTTGTGTCGATGGCGTAAATGACTATACGTGTAATTGTACGGCTGGCTACGATGGCAAGAACTGTTCCCAAAGTAAGTTAGATCATTTTCCCTCATTTCACCTATCACAAGAGAACACAGTTATTATTTCGTACATTTTACGTCCTTTAATTGCCTTAAACTAGGCACACAAAAATCTCAAACGATGTTTGAATGGATTTTTCTTCCCGAAAACGAACTCTATATTTTGCATCAATCTCTCCGGTTTCGAGTGACAAAGTTGCCATGTTCAATAGTTATCTATATTTTCAGATATCGATGATTGTTCCCCTAATCCTTGCCAAAACAATGCAACTTGTGTCGATGGCGTAAATGACTATACGTGTAATTGTACGGCTGGCTACTATGGCAAGAACTGTTCCCAAAGTAAGTTAGACCATTTTCCCTCCCCTTCCACCTATCACAAGAGAACACTGTTATCATTTCGCGCATTTTACTTCCTTTAATTGCCTTTAACTAGACGCACAAACATTTCTAACAAAGTTTGAATGGATTTTTCTTCCCGAAAATGAACCCTTTATTTTGCATCAATCTCTCTGGTTTCGAGTGTCAAGGTTGCCATGTTCAACAGTTATCTTTATTTTCAGATATCGATGATTGTTCCCCTGATCCTTGCCAAAACAATGCAACTTGTGTCGATGGCGTAAATGACTATACGTGTAATTGTACGGCTGGCTACTATGGCAAGAACTGTTCCCAAAGTAAGTTAGATCATTTTCCCTCACTTTCACCTATCACAAGAGAACGCAGTTATTATTTCGTACATTTTACTTCCTTTAATTGCCTTAAACTAGGCACACAAAAATCTCAAACGATGTTTGAATGGATTTTTCTTCCCGAAAACGAACTCTATATTTTGCATCAATCTCTCCGGTTTCGAGTGACAAAGTTGCCATGTTCAATAGTTATCTATATTTTCAGATATCGATGATTGTTCCCCTGATCCTTGCCAAAACAATGCAACTTGTGTCGATGGCGTAAATGACTATACGTGTAATTGTACGGCTGGCTACTATGACAAGAACTGTTCCGAAAGTAAGTTAGATCATTTTCCCTCACCTTCACCTATCACAAGAGAACACAGTTATCATTTCGTACATTTTACTTCCTTTAATTGCATTTTACTAAACGCACAAAAATCTCTAACGATGTTTGAATGGATTTTTCTTCACAGTAATCATTTCGTGCATTTTACTTCATTTAATTGCCTTTAACTACGCGCACAATAATCTATAACGATGTTAGAATGGATTTTGGTACCCGAAAACGAACCCTATATTTTGCATCAATCTCTCCAGTTTCGAGTGACAAAGTTGCCATGTTCAGCAGTTAACTTTATTTTCAGATATCGATGATTGTTCCCCTGATCCTTGCCAAAACAATGCAACTTGTGTCGATGGCGTTAATGACTATACGTGTAATTGTACGGCTGGCTACTATGGCAAGAACTGTTCCCAAAGTAAGTTAGATCATTTTCCCTCCCCTTTCACCTATTACAAGAGAACACTGTTATCATTTCGCGCATTTTACTGCTTTTAATTGCCTTTAACTAGACGCACAAAGATCTATAACGAGGTTTGAATGGATTTTTCTTCCCGAAAATGAACCCTTTATTTTGCATTAATCTCTCCAGTTTCGAGTGACAAAGTTGCCATGTTCAACAGTTATCTTTATTTTTAGATATCGATGATTGTTACCCTGATCCTTGCCAAAACAATGCAACTTGTGTCGATGGCGTAAATGACTATACGTGTAATTGTACGGCTGGCTACTATGGCAAGAACTGTTCCCAAAGTAAGTTAGATCATTTTCCCTCCCCTTTCACCTATTAAAAGAGAACACTGTTATCATTTCGCGCATTTTACTTCCTTTAATTGCCTTTAACTAGACGCACATAAAATCTCTAACGATGTTTGAATGGATTTTTTCTTCCCGAAAACGAACCCTATATTTTGCATCAATCTCTCCGGTTTCGAGTGTCAAGGCTGCCATGTTCAACAGTTATCTTTATTTTCAGATATCGATGATTGTTCCCCTGATCCTTGCCAAAACAATGCAACTTGTGTCGATGGCGTTAATGACTATACGTGTAATTGTACGGCTGGCTACTATGGCAAGAACTGTTCCCAAAGTAAGTTAGATCATTTTCCCTCCCCTTCCAACTATTACAAGAGAACACTGTTATCATTTCGCGCATTTTACTTCCTTTAATTACCTTTAACTAGACGCACAAAGATCTATAACGAGGTTTGAATGGATTTTTCTTCCCGAAAATGAACGCTATATTTTGCATCAATCTCTCCAGTTTCGAGTGACAAAGTTGCCATGTTCAACAGTTATCTTTATTTTCAGATATCGATGATTGTTACCCTGATCCTTGCCTAAACAATGCAACTTGTGTCGATGGCGTTAATGACTATACGTGTAATTGTACGGCTGGCTACTATGGCAAGAACTGTTCCCAAAGTAAGTTAGATCATTTTCCCTCCCCTTCCACCTATTACAAGAGAACACTGTTATCATTTCGCGCATTTTATTTCCTTTAATTGCCTTTAACTAGACGCACAAAAATCTCTAACGATGTTTGAATGGATTTTTCTTCCCGAAAACGAACCCTATATTTTGCATCAATCTCTCTGGTTTTGAGTGTTAAAGTTGCCATGTTCAACAGTTATCTTTATTTTCAGATATCGATGATTGTTCCCCTGATCCTTGCCAAAACAATGCAACTTGTGTCGATGGCGTAAATGACTATACGTGTAATTGTACGGCTTGCTACCTTGGCAAGAACTGTTCTCAAAGTAAGTTAGATCATCCTTCCCCCCTCCCCCCCTTTCCACCTATTAGAAGAGAACAAAGTTATCTCGTCGTGTATTTATTTCCTTTGCCTGCCTTTGACACAAAATGATCTATAGTGATGTTAAAATGTGTCTTTCCTAATACCGTATGATTAGTCTTATTTGAGTACCCTCTCAAGGCTTGGCAGTGACAAGTAAATAAACTTATTGTTGTAACACCCTGCGTTATCAGACCGTTAGAAAGCTTTATTAAGGTTAGGATAATTGGACTTTTAAGCAACAAGTGTATGCAGGATGGATACCAGGGCAGACCAAGTTTGCGCAAATTTGTCAAAGAAGTGGATTCAGCTTCTTGTCAAAGAAAAGAAAAACATCCTATGAGCAACACCACCTCTAAGCTCATTGCCACTTTAGAGTTAAACCTCCAAACCATCAAACAACCTGAACGACTATTTGTTTAAAACCCTTTGACACTAAATTAAATTCTTTTTTCGTCTTATTGTGTACATTTCTGAAATATTTTCACTTTTAAAATCCCGTAGAATTTCACAGATCAAATAGCCTTGAAAAGTGAATACTACTTCTCGACTTATTCTAACTAATCCCTTTCGTACAATGTATGGTGTCATTAGATAATGACCATTGGTTTGTGTAATGTGCACTAATCATCCATAGTCTATCGACGTATTTTAAACTTTTCTCTGCAGCGTTTTCAGAATTACCATCTCGGACCTAGTAACTTGAAATTATCATATCAGGCGGCACACTCTGGAGTCTCTTTTTTAGGTCGAAGTTTGCTAAGGAAGGAAACACGTCCAGAAAAACCAGGATTACTTTGATCATATGATAAGAAATGGTCTTAAAACCTTTATATCATCTACTTCCATTAAAATATGTCCCCATCCTTCCCCTGAACAACAAAATATTATTTTGTAAATAGTATAAGATGGTACCGTCTTTCTCACTCTATTTACAAAACATGACGCTATCGACATTGCTGATCCTGGCAGTATGCAGGACGCGCGTCATATAAGAACTTAGTAATGGACCTTGTTTACCATCCAGTCTTTATGGCTCAGCCGGTAGAGCATCAGAGCGTGGAATCCGAAAGTCTGAGGTTTGAATCCTTATATGGAATCAAATTTTTTTCTTTGCCCCACGCTCATCACAAACATCTTTCTGTAAAAATTAATTTATCAACCCTACATGTAGATATACTGAACGATCTCAGTGTGAATCTTTGTTATCTGACAGTTGATCCTTGCTGTACTGATCCGTGTGAAAACGATGGACAGTGTTTCGTTGATGACAACTACGATTTCTTCTGTGTCTGTCCAATTCCTGAAGCCTACGAAGGAAAAAATTGTAGTAAACCAGGTAAGCGATGAATTGTTTTCTTTTACGATCTCTTCAATCCACTGGAATTCTCGCCGTCGATATCGTGCTTTGCTTAAGGACCCCGACCAAACAAATGGGAAGCAACAGTTTCCTTAGTTAATTACGACTTGAACGGTTTACGATAACAATTCCATGATTTAAGCATATCACAGCTTACACAACGCATTACATTAAACCTCATCTAATTGAATGGTGGGAAATCAAGAGTTCTCATGGTCAACGCGCCGAGCACTACGTATGTAAGGTTTGGGTTTAACTCTCGATTGGAGGTGCCATCTGCATCCAGAAGATTAAAAGGTTACGATGAAACTCTTCTTCGTGAAAAGTCGCTGAGTGGCTGAGGAGGGGTGGGAAGGGGGCTACACCGTACTGGATGAGTTAGCAATATATCCCTTCATGCTAAATTTAGGTTGTCCTCTGGCTACAGCGTTGGCCACTTGGCTCCGCGACCTTGATTTTCTGAACTAATCTCAAACTTTTTTCACACAGTCGACTGTTTCTGGAATAAAATGTATCCTTACGGAGAAGAACAGTGCGACAAGGAGATGAACGTAGGATTGATCCGTGATGAGCTGTGTGAAGAAATATTGTACGACCATGGTATCTGGTTCTTTGATGACAAGCACTACGTCCTGTATGTAAGTATCATGACTTATTCCAGCCTTTGCTGAAGAGGTGTAATCGTAATTGAAAATTAAGAATCCAGAAGGCCTCGTCACTACTAATGTAGGGATTTTTTGCCGGTTATAAAAGCTAGCAAAAAGGAAATTTTGAAAATTGCTTCTTGTTCAATCGGAAATCAAAAAATAGAAAGCATATAAAGAAAGGACAGGAAATGAAAATAAGAAATTTTAAGATCAATTTTGGAAGGTGCACCAAAGGATACGATGGAATCTCTACTCAGGTGACAATCTAGGGACAAGAAAATTTGTTCCTCTAATGAATCTGACTTATCAAAGGAGGCAACAAAAATAATTGCATTTTAAAAGTATAACTTTGTGCTGCACATTTTTTGACACGCCCAGCAGCTTTCGAAATCCTTTGCAATAAAAACGAGTCTACTTTTAAAACCATTTTTATCAGCTCTTTGGGGGTTTTCACACAGCCAAAAGGTTAACTTCCAACTTCCTTTTAATGAGACGAAAACTAAACAAATGTTTACAACCTTTTCCAGATTTGTGCCAATGGAATGATTCGTTTCGATATAGAATATGTGAGGTACTTCCCAGTTCCAACCTTTGACGTCGAGGAATTCCCGTTCGAAGTCCCTATGTTGTTCCCCTTTTGGTCGAAAATCGACATTTACGACTCATTCTGTTCCAGTAAGCAAGACTGCCTTTCTGGTGACATAGATTATGAAAACCGTTCCACCGTATTCTACCAAGTTTACACGAAAGATAACAATGCAATGAATGCATCAAATATTCTAGACAAGGCTAGTGAAGACGTCAGAGAGAATTCGAACGACCAAAAGTTCCAGAACTTCAAGGCTTCGTGGGTACTCGTAGTGACCTGGTTACGCCTTCGTCCAGAAGAGGAAGCCGAGGGCGATGCCGAAGAAGGAGTGGTAAGTCTTTCAGAAATACCCATAAATCACAAAGGTTTTTTTTAAAAATGGAACTGTTCTTCTAACTATCCTCTATTTGCAGCAGGTTGTCAATGCCAGCACTTTTTGACCGAATTCGCATTGACTGCGCACCACATACCATGTTGCGTAACGGTTCATAGAGAATTTGATTAATTAATTGCAGACCTATCATTTAAACGAAAATCAAGCTTAAACGTTAGTGCAGTCGTCGTATAGCATAGCTGAAACCAATTGTTAAACTTAAGTGAAGGTCTGATGTCGACATCACTTTTAAAAAAATCCTCTTGCAAATATCCAAATATTATTGACACAAAAAGTCAACAAGCAATGCGTTTTTTTCTATGGATTTCAGACTAATACATTCCAAGCTGTACTCATCACTGATGGAACCTACACATTTCTGAAGTACCACTACCCTTGCAATTCTCTTCAGTGGGCATCGCCGAAATTTTAGTAAGTACAAAACGAAAAACCGTTCCTAAAACTCCTGCTAAAAGGAGATTCCATGTGTCTAGTTGAGGAAAAGGGTAAATTGGGGCCACACAACACAAGGCTGTAATCTCTAAGTTTCAATACGGAGACCAACGCGCTACCGCGGTGTCTATCGGGCGTTCAGACCTCGTATCACGAAAGGTGACATGTTTTCCTCGCTGTGAAGAGACACATGTTGTTCGCAAACACTTGTAACAAATTAACAAGAAAATTATTTTCTCTTCAGTGAATTGTATCCAGAAGATTTTGGCGGCTATCCTGTAGCAGGTATAAATGCTGGTGATGGAAATCTGGAAGATGTCGAGAGATTCTTTAGTCTTGAAGGGTAAGCTTGTTCAACAAATATGCTGCCTAAACTTTTAACTGGCATTGACCTAACTTCCACCTCGGACGGAGAATTTTTTTTTAAAATCCAGTTTTACATAATACACAACTAAACTTGGATTGGTTTGCCCCTGAACTTGTCCCAAGAATCTTGCACCGCTCTTTCACCAACCCTTTCAAACAAACAATGAGTTGCAAATCTAGAAACCAATCTCAATTACCTCCGAAGAAAACTTTCAAACGCGCACCCTCATGAATGCGAATAGTATTATGTGCAATGAGCGTGCGCTATGACTATCTACAGCATGACTTGAACAACCAGGCTTGGTTTTGGATTTATAATAACTAAATTTGTTGTTACTTCAATTGTCAAATATTGGTTGTTTCTATTTGCTTCAAGCTGGTATTTGATCAATCTTTGCGCGTAATCGCGGTTCTCTCTTCATAGCTTGAGGTCTGACTGTTTCTTTCTCTAGGTCGGCTTCTCCAAAGATAACGGGTCTCACCCTGAGGAGAGAAAATGCGGACAATGATGGAGAGTATTTCTTTAGACTTGAACAAAGAACAGGAGACGACCCTGAAACAAAATGCAGGAAATGGTCCGACTGGCAAGAAAAATATCTAAAAGATGATATATCGAACGCTGATAACTTTATCCCAGCTTGTCCCTGTTCAATCTTCCAAGTTATTTTTTCTCCCACTTACTATCTAATTTTCTCCACTGAACCAGACAGCGTTTGTTTCGTTAGCATTTTCGTCTTCTCGTTCGCCAAGGCAACAGGTAGCAACAGTTCCGTACAGGGATTTATCCTTCGAAAGTGTTGCTATTCGAATTTCTTCTTTGGTGCGCTTCTTACGGGAAGTGATGATCCCGGAAGTTTAGAAGTTGTCTATACAGACAAGCCTAAAGATTTACTGGATGATGCCGAAGCGAAACAGGCATGCTGCTTCGATTCTTTCAACTGCGATTTGTACGACAAAGTACGCCCCTCAGATGATTGTGAACGTTTCTTTATTCCCCGAAGACGTAAGTCACTATTTTCATTGACAGGAAAAGATATATTGTGCATGTGTAATCAAACAATAAGGTTATGAGAATACAGGAAACGACCACCCACCCAATAAGCTCTTGATTGTTAAACAAATTCTCCTTGTCGGTACCTTAGGAAATGTATAGGAAACAATATGGAGAACATGCGTGCTGATGTTAGGGTGTAAAGGGCAAAGTTTCCTGGTTTTTCAAGACAAGCACAAAATGTCATATTATCCGAAATGGTCACAGAAACCTCTTTCGGTCCATTTACCAGAGGTGTGACCGTATTTACAAAAGTTCATAATGCAACGATTTTTTTTTTCATCAAGTTAACAAACCTGCCTTCTCTTTCTAGGTTGGTTTTGGGGAGATCCACACTTTAAAACACTCGACGATAAGGACTACACGTTCAACGGTGTTGGGGAATACACCATGGTTGATGGCAAAAACGGTAAGTTTAAGCTTCAAGCAAGAACGGTACTGGCCCCTGGAAATCGTAGTATAGCTACGGTGTTCTCTGCTGGAGCTGCTCAGGAAAATGGAAGCAGTAAAGTCGAAGTTAGAGCCAAAAGTGGAGGTGAGATTTTTGCAATTCACATCGATTAATCATTTTAGTTGTCTTTGCTTAAAAAGCTGAAATGAATCCAGTAAAAGACAGGATACATATCTTAATGCAATGGAAATATCTCATGTACGCCAGATTCTCTCAGAAGCCTATTTTAACATTTTATCTTTTGTGCATGTTTTGCTCTCCACGTGAAGGTGGATTGGAGATGTATATCAACGGTACACTGTACGACGGGCTCTATAATCTGACAAACATCAGCAAGGAGATCGGAGGAAACCTGAGAGCAGCTCAAAAAAATCCTGGCTGCGTTGAGGTGACCTTCAAGAGTGGATCAGGCGTTGAATTCTGTGAGGCCAAGGGGATGATGTCATTTGTGGTGACCTTGAGTAACGAGTTCCTTCAACAACACAAAAGGGCTTCTTGGAACTTACAATAACAATCCAGATGACGACTACACTTTGCCGGATGGGACTACTTTGGTTCCAAACGTCAATTCCTCTACTATTCATTATGATTTCGGTTTGAAGTGTGAGTATTGGTTTTCCACATAAATGGAAGAATCAGACACTTGAAAAGAGATAACCGAAAAGATGGGTCTGTGGGTCTCAAATGGAAGCTATTTAACAAAAACGAGTAGGGAGACAATCGGGCACTGGGCCTGTACTCTGTTAGACCCACCCTTCTAGTCTCTGGATTCGTTCTAAGTTTCCCCGAGTTCCACTTCTTGGTTGCACTTTGTATATAGCCAGCTGGTCTGCCTCCTGCCGGCGAGGGTTTTTAAACAATGCCAAATCTTTTATTTCTCGAAGTTAAAAACCAACGAAGAAATAAGTTAGACCATCAAAGAAACAAGTCTTCTTATTGGCATAAATGTGCGGTTTTATCCCGTTGACGCTTTCTAGTCCAATTTAGTCATCATTTTATTAGCACACCAAACATTCCTATCATAGAAATATTATAATCTAATTACTCTTTAATTTATTAGGGCAAATAACAGCCGAAGAGTCTTTGTTCACTTACGGTCCTAATGAAGGCGTTCATACTTTCGCCAATGCAAGCTTCAAGCCCATGTTTGTCGAGGCCATCAAGTGGGCGGACAATGCCACTGAGCAGGCAGCTAAGGAAGCTTGTGGAGGTGACGTGGTGTGTCTCTTCGATGCTGCTTCTACGAATGATGTTTCCATAGGAACCAACAGCAAAGACGTAAACGTGAAGTTAGTAAAGGAGAACGAAAAACTTGGTAAGCTAAGGAATCGTATGATATTTCATTCAGGATAACTGGCTGGGTTCGCTAAAATATACCCTTGAGATTTACCTTTACGGTGAATATCGCAGATACGTTTTCTCTACGATATTCCGTTTTCATATCTGCAACACCATGGGTTCTTACGAAGCTTTAGGCCTTTTTAAAAGTGAGTGTCTGACGTATTGAGAACGGAGTAGCCAATAGTCTCCATTTATGT